TTTTTCATCATTTTTTCATTATTTTGTACCAATTTGGATAAAAAATAAATGAAAAATATTATATTTAGCATTTTAATAATTTATGGTAGTGAAATACAGCAAAGAAACACCGGTGTCTTTTTCTGCGTTAAGATTTAAATCTTTCATACGCGACTCACTTCCAAATAATAATTTTTAAATTTGCAGTTATTTAGCTCTAAGAGAGACAGTTATACAACATTGGAATTTCGTTCATTTACGAAATCAATTATTGATACATTTTTAAATATGAATGACAAGAAAAATTTTCAAGCTACTTTTTTCGAATTTTATATTTTAGAACAAATATAATTCCGATAATTTAACAGACTATTTTTAGTAAATATGGGATTATTTTTTATAATTAAGAAATACCAAAATACATTTTCGCTATGCAAAACGGACCCCGTTTACCCATCTCCGTCAAAGCGTTATCAGGATCACCAATTTCTTTATCATTATTAAAATAAAGCTTTCACGATGAACTCATCATGTTAGAGACGCTTGCACACGTTTGCTGCTCGCAAGTTTTAAGAAAAACTGCTCGCAAGTTTTAAGTTAAATTAATTCGTTATCTTTTTTAATTGTTATTTTTTCTACTTAATAATAAAAAAGAAAAGGTTGTAAATTCTTTAGTGCAGTTCAAGAGTTCATATTGCGTTCTACTTTTGTACTATACATTCTTGTTAAAGATGCTCATGTGCATTTTATAACTGACTACACACAGGAAAAACGTTCAGTCGAAATTGCCGTGTTTCTGACTCTATAAAAACACCAAAAATCTAGGTAATTTTTAGTGAACTGCTTTGGTAATGATTTTTGTAAAAGTAACAAATAAAATATCGGTTATTTTATCATGAAACCTTAGAGCATGGCATAAGAACCATTTATTCGGTTAAATTTACTTTAAAGTTTTGTATTTTTTACTACATGTGTGATAATAAGTATAATTTTAAAAACAAGAATTTCCCATAAATTGTTACCATATAAAGGGAAAAATTATCAAATGAATTTTAATACTGCATATTTTAATAGAACTATGCTTTTTTCCCCCTTTGCCAGAAATCCTAGTACCATTACAGTACGAAAATTTTACCAGAATCTTTTTATCCGTGCAGTTATGATTTTATTTTACAAGCATCAAAGACAAAGTTTGCCAAACTTCATGCACTTTTCATTCAAAATTATTATACTTCTACGATATCTTATAATTTTTAGTATAAAATGCTATTGTATTTATAACATTGACAAGCATTTAAATTATAATTTAGATATAAATTTCGAATAAATTTTGAATTTATAGAGACCCCCGAAAAAAAAAAAATTTTCTGTGGTTCATTTCCATAAAATAAAACATTGCTGCCTCACTATAAAAAGTGCTCCATTTTTTCCCTTCTTTATTTAATTTTTAAAGCTTCTTTATGCAAGTAAATGAACTTCAAGCATCTCAAATAAAAATTATTATACTTTTTATGAAATTAAAATGATTATTAAATTAATTTAATTTAAAATATACATAAAAAAAACAATTCCAGAATTGCTGAGAAATAATATAAGGGAAAATATTAAAGTTTATTATAAAAATCCTTCTGCAAAGCTATTATAACAAAAAATACAATCAGTTACTAAATCGTATTTTCTCACAATACCTTGATTTAAAAATTTATTTCTATAAAAATCTATTTGCTTCTTTAAAAATCTATATAAATATTAAAAATCTTTATTTTAATAAAAAATAGTCATATTGCAAAACTATGTAGATTAAAAATATTTAAATAATTAAAAATTAATAATTTCTAATATTTAATTATTTATAGCTGTTTGTATTATAATTATTAATAGATTATTTTAGAGTTCTTTAAAAAAACTTTAAGTATTATTTACATTTTAACAATATAACATAAATTTGCTAATCCAGATATATTTTAAGAAAATATATGAGAATTAAGCAAAATTCTATATAAAAGCAAATATATATTTGTTATTGTCGCTATTGAAAGTATGTTTATGTCATTTAATGTTAATGTTAATTGTTATTTAAACTTTAAATAACAATTAATTTAATGAAAACAACGCATCTGATGTATAAAAAAAACAATAAAGAATTTGCAAAACATATTAACAATAGCTTTCATTTATTACATTTACTTTTTACTATATAATTTACTGAGTTTCAGTTTAATTTTCTCCATTATTATACAATAATAATCTGAAATTTCTATTAACTTAAATAAATTAGAATTGCCTTTACTCAAAAACGTTCTTATTGTTTTGATTTTTTAATAGAAAAATAGTGTTATTAGCCTTACAAATATTTTATAATTAATAAAAACAACACAAGAACAAAATATTATAATTCACGTTAGTTAAACTTAAAATAAAATAAAAACTAGGTAATTTGTAAGAGTGAAAATCTTAAATGTAAATATTTAATTTAAAAAGTCAAACTGAAAGAAAAAAAAAATTTCTCTAATATTTAAAGAAAATAATGCATCAATACTTTAAATTTAAACAATAGTATTTTCATAAAAGAATAACAATTAGAGAGAGAAAGTGCTGCATTTAGATATTGAGCAGAACCTACTAAAAAAAATTTTATTACTTCTTAAGATATTTTTGAATAAAAACAAAGCTAATTAAAAAAATTTAAAATTCCTTCTTTTCTTTTTTTTTTCTTTTTTTTTTTTGCATTCTTTATGAGATCGATTATACTACGTTTTATTTTAAATAAATATCAAACAGTTAAGATAAAAATTTTAATATTTTTTTTACTTGTTTTTCCCAACTCAGTTGTTAAGAATTGTGATTATTTTATAACTTCTATTATTTATCAAAGGAACTCAGGAAAAACCCTGAATTTGTTACATGATTTAATTTTCTTTTGACTATTAATAAAATGAGTTGCTTAACTATAATTAACAAAAATAACACTTTGAAAAACAGTTAGATAGTTTGTCTTATCTATTTACAGCTTACCTAGAGACATTAAATAGACCATCTGATAAATATTTTTCAAAATTTATTAATTAATAATTTTGTTAATTAATATTTTTATTAATTTGCACAATGTTTAAGAAAAGCAGTCATGCTCTTTTTAGAGGTATCTCAAAATGTTACTAAAAGTTTTGATCTAACAATTAAAAAGAATAACATTTTGTTTAAATAAAATGATCAAAGAACTGACTATAAAAAGGTACAAATTTTTTTCTTATTTGTAATCAAAAAAAAAATTTGCAGGTCATTATGGTTTTTTATGTGGAAAAGATTGTTAGCATAATTAACTTGAAAAATATATAATTAATTTGAAAAATTTAAGTAGAAGTACTTAACATTTTTCCTTCATTTATAAACATCAATTAAGATGCACTGGAATACTACTTGAAACATTTTCTTTCATAAAGAAGTAATTTTAAAATTAAGATATTCACAATTTTCATTGGAACACTTTACACATTTTCCTCCATTTATAAATAATTTTAAAATTAAGATATATTTAGTGTTCACTAGAATATTTTACACGTTTTCATACATTTATAAATAATGTTAAAATTAAGGTGTCAAGTTTTTACTGAAATGCTTTATAAACTTCCTTCCATTTATGAATTTCAAACATAAGAAGTAACTACATAGAGTTTGCACAAGAATACTTTAATACATTTCTATTTGTTTTAATAGATTTCAATTTGTTTAATAGATTTCAATTTGTTTAATAAAATTTCAATACTACAATAAAAATTTATTTAAGTAAAAAAATATTATTTGTCTAAACATAATTTTTACTAACAGCATGATATAATATTATTAATAATTTTTACTACAGTAAAAAAGCAATTGGCAACATATAAGTTTTCTTTAACATAACATAAAATAGTAAAGTCTATAGAGTTTGGAACTATTTACACTCTAAAAATTGCTAATCAATCAACATTATGCACTTATAATTTAGAAAAATTAATAAATTAGCTCTTAAATTGTCTCCCTCAGGATAAAGGCTAAGGAAATCGTAATAAATAATATTGAATACTAATATATAGCAGTTTCATTATAATTAACAAATATAAAAATGAAAAACATCAATAACTAATGAGCTAAAAAAAGTCTATGCGTCATGTTGTCAAAAATATGGATATGCAGTTATGCGAAAGCATAAATATGTTTTTATCTATATATATATATATATTACATCGTTTTACTGCTAAAATATAATTAAACACTATTATAATTAAGGTATAACGTACAAAAGCAACTTTTCTGAAATTTATAATTAATCGATAAAAAAATATATACCACTCGATAAACCATTCCATTAAACATTCGAAAAATTTAATTAAAAAGATAACTTAAACAAAACGATAATTTTGTTATTGTGTCATCAGAAACAAAAACAAAAATTACAACGATATTAGTTTGGATTCAAAAAAATTTTTGGATATTGCAATTAATAACACCTAATGCTTATAACTATTTAATAAAACAATAAACTATATAACTATCAAATTTAAAAATACAAAGAAAAACATTAATAACTAAAACTCCATGAAAAATATCAAAAAATATGGATATGTTAGGAGATTTTCCAAACAATTCATTTTCTTCTGAAAGCATTTTTAATATTTTTCTTTTATCGTATCTTTTATTTTAGTTTTTACTGATATAAAATACTAAAACACCGCTATGAAAAGTTTTTTAAAAAAATATTAGCAATATTTCTGAATTAAAACATAAAAATAAAGTTAATAAAAATTTACGAACGCAAACGAATCAAATATTAAAATAAAACGATGTTAACCAAAACAAAACGATAATTTTACTATCCATTCATGAGTAAAAAAAAAAAAATTACGACGATATCAGTTGGGATATAAAAACAAAACAAACAAGTTAAAAGGCTCGCGACTAGTTGCCCTCTTAAACCGGAAAAATGAATACCACTCCGCCGTGGGGGGAAGGAACAGTAAAGAAGAAGAAAAAAAATCACCTACCTCTTTTTTTCTTCGTCACACTTAATCCAGGAAACAAAGACGCATAACAAAAGAAAATAGTCAGCAGAAGAACCCAGTGCATTTTTTGAGATTAGGGGACATATTTTTTAGCCATTATTAAGCAGTCTTCTGCGTAAGCATTCATCATTGCACCGCACATCACAGCATGGACGTCACAGTAGCTAGCTGGTCCCCCTCGTAAAGGTTGCCGATCCAAAATGGCGTCCATTGGCTCGCACAGAACATCATTCCGTGCATACTGGATTGTTTTTGCTGTCACCGGCACGCTCGCATCTCGTCCGACGAAGTTCACAGTCTTGTCTGTGAATCCAGATTCGGTGAAACAAAGAATGGCTATAAACTACAGAAAGCAGGCAAAGAAGCGGTGTTCTAATGTGATCACTACTCGCGATTCGCTAGTTCTAAACGCGCGAGAACCGCTCTCGGAACCGAATAGAGGGGTAACGATTGAAACTGCTCGGCGAAAACGGCGTTTGATCAAGTAAAAATTGCCGATCAATAATTCAGTGAGTGAGCGCTATCCCTCTAGAAATAGCTTTTTAGTTTAGCGCGCCAAAATTAAGCTCGTTTAAAGGACGCTGTTGTTTTATAATTATTAATTGAATGTGTTTTATTTCCGTAATTCGCGAATTAATTTCTCTCGTCATTCACAACTCAGAGTAGATAATAATATGAAAGCAATTAACAGAATTTTATTCACGTTAACAAAATAAATTAACTGGTCTCAGTTAATTTATTTTGTTAGATGCTTAGTTGGTATAAAATTAGTCATTTCGTATTTATTACTAGAAAACGTTTTACAGAATTCGAAGTAAATTCTTTCAAAATTGAACTCGCTTTAAGGATTTGTTCTTTTATATTTATAAATATTGTTTTATTCGCGAATTCCTTTCTCTCATTGCTTACAACTAGGAGTGGATAATTTTTTAAATGGAATATTTATGTAAAAAAAGATAATTATCCGATTTTATATAAAGTTTTGATGGTTTAAAATTAGCCATTTCATTTTAATAAACAGTATTTGTTTTTGGTTATTCGTAAACTTAATTCTTAGTTAATTAACTCAACAAAAAAAGCTTTGAAGTTCTGATGTTTTATATTTATTAATTGTAAGTGTATTATTTTCGTAATTCGGGAATTATTCTCTATTATATCTTACAACACGGTGCGGATGAATTATCGAATCCAATCATAGGAATTCGCCTTATTTTAATAAAATTATTTAACTTAACTCATTTAAAGTTTATCTAGTATTGAATTAATCATTTTGTATTTATTAATAGACTAAGTTTTCCATAATTCGTGAACTAAATTTTTTTTCAAATTGAGCTTGTTTAAAGCTTTGTTGATGTTCATAAAATGTGTTTTATTCGCGAATTAATTTCTCTCATCTCTTAACACTCGAAGTAGATAATTTTTTTTTGAGACAGAATTTTATTAACATAAAAAAAATNTATTTAAAGTTTTATTAATATAAAATTTATCATATATATACATATATATTGTATATATATATATATGACAATTTATGTATTTTCTTTTTCTCTTGTCTGAATAACGAGAAAAAGAATAATTTGGTATTTTTTTATTATAAAAGACAATCTAATAGTTACTAAAAAAATATGTAAAATTATCGGAATTATATATGTACTAGAAAATAAAATTCTTTCATATTCAATAATTTATTAATCATTGATTTTGTAAATTAAAGAAATTTCAATAATGACTAGCTGTTTCTCTTAGATCTTAAAAACTACAAGATAGTGCAAATTATTGTTTGGAAGTTTATTATTTGAAAAATTATTGTTTGAACCATGTTTGGAAGAATTTGCCTTTAACACTGAGAAAAATACGGGTGTTCTATGCTGTATTTCATAATCATATCCTGTTAAAATGCTAAATAAAATATTTTTCACCTATTTTTGTCTGAACTAATATGAAACAATAAAAAATTATAAAAAATATGTTACTAAAAGTTTCTCTTTGATACAAGTTAGTGCAAATTAGAAAAAATTATTGTTTGGAAGATTATTATTTGAAAAATTATTGTTTGAGCCATGTTTGGAAGAATTTGCCTTTAACACAGAGAAAAATACCGGTGTTCTATGCTGTATTTCATAATTATATCTTGTTAAAATGCTAAATAAAATATTTTTCACCTATTTTTGCCTGAACTAATATGAAACAATAAAAAAGTATAAAAAATATGTTATTAACTGTTTCTCTTTAATAAAAGTTAGTGCAAATAAGAAAAAATTATTGTTTGGAAGAGTATTATTCGAAAAATTATTGTTTGAGCCATGTTTTGAAGATTTTACCTTTAACACAGAGAAAAACACCGGTGTTTTATACTGTATATCATAGCTATAAAATTATTAAAATGCTAAATAAAAAAAATTTTCTTATTTTGGCCTTAATTAATATAAAAATATGAAAAATATATTTAATAAAAATTTCTATTTCTGTCAAAAGGTTAAAGCACAGAATTTTATCTAGTTTTTGTTGAAATAATTGCTCGGTCTTTATACCCATTGTTTTTATTGTAAACGTTCAGATATTATTCAAAGTTTTTATTTTATTTATTTATTTGTCTTTTTTGATGTTACATTGACTCCATTAACATCATGTATATTAAAAATTAGTCCTTTTGTATGAAATATTTTTTTAAATATTTATAGAAAATTTTAGCAATAATTTATGGCCATTACTGTCACTATTCAGAATAATAAATTTTATCTAAAAAATTTGGCAGTGTATTAAATATAAAATTATTTGTTGTCAGAACCTTATAGTTTAGATCTGTGTCATTCTCTCACCTCCTGAGAAATACACTTCTGTGAGAATTCGGAAAGATTATTACTTTTGAATAAAGGAAAGAAACATCAGAACAACCACCGTAATCTTAATTATTTCTTTTGAAATTTAAATCTAGCTAAAAAATTCTGCAGTTTAAGACAAGAGCGTGAGTTTTAAGTTTATCATCAATCAAACATATGCTTTCTTAACTTAAAAAATACATTTGAAACTCATATTTTTGTATGCTTGATTAAGTTTTATGAAACAAAGTAGCATTTATTTAAGAAATAAGTTTTTAAAGACAGCTTTGCATTTTTATAGAAAATAATATTTATTATTTTAATAATTATAATTATGTAATAAAAGTTGCTCGCTAAATTTTTATTTGCTTAGGTACTACAATATTTTCATTTTATAATGCGCTATATTTCTGGGAGCTGTATTTTCATGTTCAAAAGTACCACTACAATTCTTTGCAAACAGTTTTTTTTTATTTGCAATAAAGCTACCATTTCTTTTACAATGCTTGTAACACAATATTTTTATTTACAGAAGTAATGCCATTTATTTATTTTACACTGTTTAGTACAAAGTTCTTATATTTCTGAAAGTAAAAAGTGTGAATTTGCTGAAAATTAATCAACGGCTTAAAGCACAATATTTTTATTTGCAATAAAAAAGGGAGTATAGTTAAAAAATTAATGCTTTTTTTAACAACGTTTAGCATTCTATATTTAATTTAATTTTTGTGTTGCAGAGCTGCTACATTATTGGGTTAACGACCATCAATGTTCAACTCCACAACCTTGCAATTTTGAACCCTACCCAGAAGACAAGGAAACACCTCGATGAAGTATTGAGACAAACTAACTTTCGTGAAGGCGAGTATTTAGTTGACATAGAGATGAAAGTCACGAAAACATCCCACGTTTTGCCCGACTACAAGGAGATTCTAATCCATGATCCGTCAATTACTGAAAGTGTTTTTTTTTTTTTTTTGCCAACACTGTGGTCGGTGCGTGCAGGGAGCAGAATTCGTATCGACACGGCTTTCTATTTTTAAATTGAAAAAAAAATACAACTTTATTTCTTACATTGCTTTCATTAAAAGGACAAAATAACGTTCATTTGAGACATTTCTTCCAAAAGATGGTTTTGCTTTATTTTAGGGCGAACAATATTTATTGTTAAATATCTTTCTTTAATAAATATTGATAAATACAGAATACACTAGCTTTTTATTTGCCAAAGTAATACTAAATATTTGTTTCTTAAAAGTTTATTTTAATATTTTCAATATTGATTCTTTATAAATTCCAAAGAAAACACTGAGGCTTTTAAGAGGATGTAATGTACTACGTAATGCTCGTGTTTTTTCTCTTTTTCTAAATAGAAAAGTTTTTGGAAAGCTGTGTGATAGATACTTTTTAAATATAAAAGATTTTTCTTTAAGGCTGCTAACAGAAAATAATGGATGTAGCTAAATATTTTTTCCAATAGCACAGATACTCGCAAGTTCTGCAGAACGGATCTAAAGGGAACTTCGAAAGTATGTATTCTAGAACATGCAGCCGAAGCTCATGTTGGAGAGAAGAAAAATTCAAAATAACTCTGATGTGAATGAAAATAAAAAAAATATCAGTTTAAAACTCAAAAAAAGGCTAGAATATTTTATTTGTTGAACATTTGTGGGTTCCATGTGCTTTTCTTGTTAGTCAACAATAGACTGAAGGCGTGGCATTGCGTTATCAATGACAATAAGCGAAATATCGCTGGAAATGTTGGGAAAATGACAGACTGCGCTGGCTATTAAGTGCATTATCCTTCATAAAAATGATAGTTGAGAAAGTGATATTAATATCTACTGCCAGAAGGCTCAAAGGTTTAGATATGGTGATCATGCTGACTATACCATATCACTTTTATACTGAAATTACTTGCGTCTATTTGCGCGTGGTTTGAAAATACAGCGCCATCTGTTGGCAAACTCGCAAACTATTCTTCAACATAAAGCCATGCACTGCAATAAATATCTCGAAAAAAATGGTTAAGCAACAATTTATTTAAGGCCTCACATACCTTTTAATAGGTAAAAAATGAGAGAGAACGAGCAATTTTCAATCATCTGCCAATTTTATAATAATTATTCTAAAAATACCAAATTTTGAAATATGACACTATACATAGTCTACATTTTGAAAACAATGCAAAAATTTTTTTCAAAAATTAAGAAATTTCTTAATTAATTGAAATTTTAATTCAATAAATTTTTTCTGTTTTTATTTGCACGCAAGCTTCTGGAAAAAGTTTACATAATATTTGCTTGATTTTTTTTGTGAGTATAGAAATATATGGTAAAACTAAAATGACGAAGAATGAACAAATAATTTTACTTTTTTCTGTATGCAAAATTTTTTTTAAAATTTATTAAAAAATTTTAACAAAAAAAATTGCTATTTCATTTTTTTAAATGTCAATACATTAATCCCACCTTCAAATGGCTTCGTTAATTTATAGAAACAGGTATTTGAGACCTGCTGTAAAAATTTTGTGCAATTCTAATCAATAGTTTTCGAGATATTGTGCGCGCAAGGTGTAAAAATAGCGTTTTGAGATAAATGAGTTTAAACACAAAACAGGACATATTTTATTAAAGAAAATGTATGACTTATTTTTTCG